TAGAGGGAAAATTCTTTACTACAGCATAATATATGATTTACTTGAACATATATGTTGTGACCAAGTATGAGTTTAATTGATGTGCTATAGCATATTTTCCATTACTTTGTTTAGGTTGATGTGAAATACTTAGTATAAGTTTCTTCATGTACAATTTACACTATGATTTTGTGAGTAAGTCTTGATCACAAGTGTGAGGTTTAGGATGGCCGTCATCTATTGGTAAGGTGACATTGAACATGGATTGACCATAATTTAGTAGTTCTAAACTCGAGTATATTCCCTTAAATAAAATAAAAATATTACATCTTATACTTTTATTCGAAGCGTATTTGACTCAAGTAATTAGAATTGAGAGATTTCTCAAAACCCAATACCCCATGGTCAACTGACTTGGAGTTATCGACCCAAAACTCGTTATAAGAATCATCTTAGTCGCTTAATGGAGAAGAGTTTGTACATACAATGTGAAAAATTGAAGAGAAAAATTATGAGTTTAAAAAGAAAAATATAAATTGTGTGAATATGTATCTATGCTCAAAGGGAAGAAAATAATAATATACATGAAAAATAAGCTTTATTTATGTGTCATAATATGCATTATTGGTTTGAATTTCATTAGTAGGGAAATAAATTTATTTAACAGTGATATTTAGCATGTTTTTCTCCCAAATTTATGGTTTGGAGTTTTGATAACAAGAAATTAGTGGAATTCAACACACCCGAGTCACTTACGCAATTTACTTCATTTAGACTTGAACTAAGTATGAGAAAATTTACTGATCATTGATTTTGCTTGTGCATGCTATCAATTGCATATTTGAGTTATTATATATTGTTGTTACTTTCGTCATTTATGACAACAATGGGGAGAGATGATGAGAAGTTTTTAAATTTTAGTTTATTTTGTAGTAAGGGGGAGATTTTTTTTTTTGAATGAGAGATGATTTTTTTGAATGCTTAGATTTTTTGATTTTTGATATTTTGTGATATTAACGTTTAGTTGGTGTTTTGATTAATATTAGTATTGTTTCTCAATCTAGCTAGCATATGATTGTCTATTTCAATTATTATATTTTTTGTATCACATACTTTTACACTTAGTATTTTGAGTTATTGATTTCAAAAACAAGTTTCAAGAAATGCAAAAGATAGACTTTCAGTTTAAATTTGGATAAATTAGTTTTGTTTTTACATCCTTGACTTGTATTGTATAATTTTGTTACCAAATGTCAAAGGGGGAGATTGTTAGGTTTTTAGTTGTATTGACAATTTTTTAAACAAAATGATTATTGTAAAAGAATAGGATTGTTATAAAAGAGTTGTAAATGTCAAGGAATCTTTTGGAGTGTTGTATAGATGAATTAAGAATCCTTGAGTTCGAGTATGGCATAAGGAGAAAGAGTTGCTGGATTTACACTAACATGTCACCTAGCTGATGCTCGAGCTTACAAAGTAGAATCATTGTCACCCGACTCTCATTCAAGCGACGTATCTCTCGCTCGCTTGTCGCTAGCTTGGAGCTCGAGAAACGGTGTTTTCCTAGAAACCCTAGTTTGCGTTTTTCAAGAGGTTTATCTAACATATACTACCTAAATGCCTTCTATTATAAATACCCATTGCCTAGTAAATTTTTTTGTGGTGGTTAATCATTATTTACATTTTTATAACATCATTCCAAGATTCAAAAACACATTCAACAATCTAGATTAACATTTTGATTCTCGATATCAATCGACCATAAGTTTGAGAAAAATATCAATTTCATATAATCTAAAACACCAACTTCTTATATCATCAGTAAGGTACTTTCTCAATAACTTTCAGAAATTGTTAAAGATTGAAAGAAGTTGGATCAAAAGCACATAAAGAGTATAAGAACGAGGCGTTCAGGTGTTCCACAGGATATAGACAATTCCAAAAGATCGGGAACATGTGTGAGTGAAGCACATTCCAGCGGGTTTTGAAGATTATATGAATTATATCAACGAGTCTAGTGGGTGTTCATCTTACTATAAGTTCTTATTCTCCATAGTGAAAACTACTTGATTGGTTCTGGAGTTTTTACCAAGTTAAGAATTTTTCCATCATAAAATCTTGTATTATTTACTGCTTTAATAGTTTATTGCGGCAATTCAACGTATGATAATTTGACTTGATTGATTAAACATCTAGAACAATTAAAAAGTGACTTGTTGGTTTTAATTGATAAGTTGAATTCTGTGTTATTCACATATTAGGTGAATTTTAGGGTTGAACTAGTAACTTTCATTATATAATATTAAAGAAGAAAAAAAAATTAATTTTTTGTTTATAATTTTGTCTAGTCTTATCAAGTACTACAAACCAAAAATATACACGGAAATGTCACGTTTACCATTTTTATGCACAAAATTTACTACTAAAGGAATAAATACAGCGATAAATTGTGTCACTAGATTTCGTCCTCCATTCTCTTATCCTGTCTCTTTCAGTTGAGAGACTTTTGAGGATAGGAGACAAATAAACCAACGTTACTTACTTGCCCTTCACATATTAAACCAAGACAGATTTCTGGCTCACAAAGCACCAGCTACTGCCCAAAGGTTTATCATTAATGGAAGTTTCTTGACCTCAAATTTTGTCCCCAGTTTTTATCTTCCTCTGCCTCAGCTTCTAACTTCATATCTTCAAATCTTGTTGCAGAACTTTTTCTCTGCGTTTTTCGTTGTCTTCATTATGGCGGCAAACTATCAAGGCAAAAGAAATTCGAGTACTCAGCTATTGGAAGAACTCGAGACACTTAGTGAGTCCCTCTACCAGTCCCACAAATCGAATACTGCCCGAAGAACTGCCTCTTTAGCACTCCCAAGAAGTGCAATTCCGCCTATCTCCTCCACCGATGAAATCGGCTCAGAGAATGTTGAGAGGCTCAATCCAAAACCGAGATCGAGGCGCATGTCCCTGTCTCCTTGGCGTTCTCGGCCTAAACTTGCTAAAGAAGACGAGCAGAGAGAACGTAGTACGGTTTCAACTAAGAAAGAGACCAAGAAGTTGGTTGATGAATCAGCTACATCAGAGAAGAAAGGAATATGGAATTGGAAGCCAATTCGAGCACTCTCCCATATTGGTATGCAGAAGCTGAGTTGTTTATTCTCTGTAGAAGTTGTCACAGTTCAAGATCTTCCACCTTCTATGAATGGCCTTCGCTTATCTATTTGCGTTAGGAAGAAAGAAAGCAAGGACGGAGCGGTGCAGACAATGCCATCAAGAGTTTCTCAAGGAGCAGCTGATTTTGAAGAGACACTATTCATAAGGTGCCATGTTTACTTCACCCCGGGTAGTGGAACGCAGATGAAGTTCGAACCACGCCCATTTCTGATATACGTGTTTGCAGTCGACGCCGAAGAACTCAATTTTGGAAGAAGTTCTGTAGATTTAAGTCATTTAATTCAGGAATCCATCGAGAAGAGTTTTGAAGGTTCAAGAATTCGGCAATGGGATATGACCTTCAATCTCTCAGGCAAGGCTAAGGGGGGTGAACTAGTTCTGAAATTGGGGTTCCAGATTATGGAGAAAGATGGAGGTATTGGAATATACAGTCAGTCTGATGGCCAGAAGTCGGGAAAAAATAAGAATAACTCGCCTTCTGTTGCGCGAAGGCACTCAAAATTATCCTTCAGTGTTCCGAGTCCAAGACTGACTAGCCGAGCAGAAGCTTGGACTCCTTCGCAGAAAGGAGTCACATCAGATCTTCAAGGAATTGATGATCTGAATCTTGATGAACCAGCTCCAGTACCTTCAACTTCTCAGCCCCTGCAAAAGAATGAGGAACAAGAACCAAAAACGGAGGACTTTGATTTCCCGGACTTTGAAGTTGTTGATAAAGGAGTTGAAATACAAGATAAAGATGAAGGACAATCAGAAGAAAACTCGGATAAAAGATCAGTCTCAAGTGAGGTTGTCAAGGAAATTGTGCACGATCAATTTCACTTGACAAGATTGACAGAGCTTGATTCAATTGCTCAGCAGATAAAAGCTCTTGAATCCATGATGGGGGAGGAAAAAATAGACAAAGCAGAAGAAGAAACGGCATCCCAAATATTAGATGCAGATGAAGAAACAGTAACTAGAGAATTTCTGCAAATGCTCGAGGATGCTGAAGCTAATAAACTTATGATTGACCCTGAAATCCTTTCTCTGAAGCTCGAAAGCAATGCAAATACAGAAGAGTCCGAATCCAATGTTCTCATACCAGATCTTGGGAAGGGATTGGGCTGCGTAGTCCAAACACGAAATGGAGGCTATTTGGCAGCAATGAATCCTCTGGATACTGCAATGGCACGGAAAGACACACCAAAACTCGCAATGCAGATGTCCAAGCCATTTGTTCTCCAATCATATAAGAACGGATTTGAGTTATTCCAGAAGATGGCAGCTGTTGGTCTTGAAGAACTTAGTTCTGAGATCTTATCATTGATGCCATTGGATGAACTCATTGGTAAAACAGCAGAGCAGATAGCTTTTGAAGGCATTGCTTCAGCAATTATCCAGGGAAGGAACAAAGAAGGGGCCAGCTCAAGTGCTGCTCGCACCATTACTGCTGTCAAATCCATGGCAACTGCAATGAACAGCGGCAGAAAGGAAAGAATTTCAACCGGAATATGGAATGTGAGTGAAGCCCCTCTGACAATTGATGAAATTTTGGCATTCTCAATGCAGAAGATCGAAGTTATGGCTATAGATGCTCTAAAAATTCAGGCAGACATGGCTGAAGAAGATGCGCCATTTGATGTTTCTCCAGTTGATGCAAAAACTATTGGAGCTAATGGAAAGGTATATAATCACCCATTGGCTTCTGCAGTTCCTATTGAGGACTGGATAAAAATTACCAGCAGAGGAAGTTCTGATGACGATGCTTCAGACCCACCAGCCATAACATTATCTGTTGTTGTCCAACTACGCGATCCAATAAGGCAATACGAGGCTGTCGGTTGCCCTGTCATAGCACTGATTCATGCACCTCAGTTCTACGATAAGACTGATAGTTACAATGAGGAGACAAAATACAAAGTGTCGAGTTTGGTTGTTGGGGGCTTAAAGGTGAGAACTCCTGGAAGAAAAAATGTATGGGACACTGAAAAGCGAAGGCTAACTGCATTGCAGTGGCTGGTAGCATATGGAATGGGGAAGGCTGTAAAAAAGGGAAAGCGCCTTGAGTCGAAGGGACCAGATCTCCTTTGGAGCATTTCCTCACGTGTAATGGCAGATATGTGGCTCAAACCAATAAGGAATCCAGATGTCAAATTCACCAAGTGAAGTTGAATATTAAATTTTTTATTCTAACCAGAAAACATGTTATGCCATTCTTGCAAGTTTGTAGCTCTTCCTCAGCATTCTGAATCAGTTATTGGAAACTAATAAATGCCAATGTATACAGGATTTATGAGTGTTTCATAGCATTGTTCAATTTCTTGTGAATATTGAAAAATGATGTTTTACTGTACAAGAGTGATAGTGTGAACTTCTGGAACTACGGTCGAGACAATTTGGTTACGGGGTCTGGTGTTCGTAGAGTGATGTTATTCAAGATAAATGCTCAGATTCAAATTGTAATACATGTTTCATCCAATATTGTAGTAAAGCGAATGGTAATAATACTAACAGTGAAATCGTTACGGTATCTGGAAATTTTTCTTGTGAAGTTTCTGGGACAAGCTAGCAAATGAGACTGAAAAAGGGATAACTGGTGCAAAACCCCTCTTACCTTTGCCTCTATTGTGGAATATCTCGTCCTTTTAGATTGACAGAAAACTACCTTGGATGACCTTTTAAGTGCGGAAGACAACCTTTTCTTCCATTTTCTCAATAAAGCCTTGTGAAATGACAAATATATCATCCTCTTTAAATAAAACAAAAGGAAAGAGAAGAAAAAATAAATAATTAATTGCAATCATAGTCCCAACATTTAGAACATCTAAATTTCATTTATCATGTAAGAACAATTGTATATTAAACTCTCAAATTTTTCTTTACCTTTTTCTGCTTTAAATTTTTCGACGTGTGTATGATCAATGGAAAACTTAGACATGTCTTTGAATCCTTTAAGCACTTGTGCAACTTTGTTACACTTGTTCTTTTGAGTAATGTTCAAAAAGGTTGGGTATTGAGATTTAGTATAGCCATTCCTACCACAAATGCAAGCAAATATGGCTAGTCGTGGTATGATCTGAGATATCTAAATCTATTTGAACTGCAACTGAAGCTTCAGTCTGAGTTTGAACTATTGCACAAATTCCAGACATAGCCTGGAATGCGGAAGAAGTTCCTGTGTGGGTCAAATCTAGCAACAGAGTTGGTACCTCTTGGACTCGTTAATGAAGTAAGCTGTTGGAGTTACTGATGTTGGTCTGAACTAGCATAGGGACTTTAGAACAAGTCAAGGATGCAACAGCTTTATCAGCCAGGGTACAGTTTTCATTGGGTTTATTTGTCCTAATCAATCAAATTCTCAAGTTCCTCCACTCGTTGTTCAAAATTTGATTTGTTGGTTCCCTAAAAAGCCAGAACACTCTGTTCCAACCTAATCTTCATTTTCTACTTCTTCCTTTGTGTCATATTCATCATCACTCCAGGAAGACTCCACGACCTTTTCTTTTTCTTTTTAAACCTTCATGTTCCTCGGCAATGATTTTGAATTTTGTATACCCAACTTCCTTTGTTCCTTCGTAAACATTTTGTAAGATGTCTTAGGCGACTTTCGCAACATTACAATGAGAAATCAAAGAAAAATTGTAAATATCAACAAGATCAAATACAACATTTAAACAGTTGGAATTCAATAATAGTTTTTTAAACAAGTATACAAGCAATAAATATTTAGACATGCTCATTATCACTAGGTGATTTGCAATCAGCAATTGGTTGGAGAAGAGTCCTAATTAAAAAATTTCATTGTTCATAGTTGGTACCATTAGACAAAGGAGGTATATCAAAAGTCCTTACAAAATTCATTACCTAGATTGTTGGGTACAATGATGTTTAAACAGTCGGATTAATTTTCAGTAGGCTTTGGACATTGACTGAAATGTTTATTAACATTACAGTTGATGGAAAAAATCATATATACCTTATTAATATATAATAATTCATTTTTTACTATTAAATCCAAATAATAATCCAAAATACTTCAAAACTCCATTAGAATCCCAAAAGTACTGCATAATAAACTTTCTATTTTGTACACGTAACTGAAAATTTCCAAGGACAGAGGCATTATATTCAAAACCAGAACATATGGATATTCAATTTCAAAATTTGTTCGTTATGATAATATTGATAGAGGAATTGAGAATATCCATCATCTGCGATCGTGTCAGATTGATTACATTAAGGTAATCCCAATGTTTGACATCGAACGAGAGTTTGCATGATTACATGTAATATGTTCATATTAAAATTTTTTTAGCAAATTACTGCAATTTTGGATATTCCATATTATCTCTGTTTTTAAGTCCATTTCTTTTTGCCATTTTTTGAAATGAATGTGATTCTTGACCTGTAGCAATGGAAGAATCAGGGCTGTTTACTACATTGCTGTAATCTAACATATACATACCCGTAGCACCAATTAAAATCTATCTGATGTGTATGCGTATCACAATCTGATTCACGGTGTCTCTGAAGCACTGAGAAAAATGATCCAAGGAATGTGTCTTTGAAGCACTTGAAGTCATGTTTGGTATCGATTGAAATATAAATTTTAATTTAAATCAAAGTTAACAATTAATTTTAATAACATATTTCATGGAATCCATAACTATTTAACTTTTATCAAAGTTTACTAAAAATTTGATTTTAANAGAAAAATGATCCAAGGAATGTGTCTTTGAAGCACTTGAAGTCATGTTTGGTATCGATTGAAATCTAAATTTTAATCTAAATCAAAGTTAATAATTAATTTTAATAACATATTTCATGGAATCCATATGTGTTTTAACTTCTATCAAAATTTACTGAAAAATTGATTTTAATCTGCACCAAACAGGGGCAAAAAAACTGATGTGTGCATATCACAATAGAACTGATGTATGCATATCACAACTGAATGATCGGGGATGTGTCTCTAACACACTTGAAAACTAACTGATATATGCATGTCGCAATCTAACTGATGAATGCATATCACAACTGAATGGTAAGGGAATGTGTTGGCAACGGTGATACAAAAACATGTATTGTTTACTAAAAAATTTCTTCGATGTCTCCGATTAATTGATGTATATGATAGCTTAATAATATTNNATGTATATGATAGCTTAATAATATTAACAAACCAAGCGGGTTCAGGGATACCAATGGATGCATCAGATATTGATTTTAATTCAAACGTTAATATAATTTCCTTTTTTTCACCCGATGCAGTAACTTTCTGTGAATGTCTTCATATCTTGCAACTCAAGGACTTCCCAGCTGCCCGTACCAAGTGGTTGCTGTTTGGTGGATCTAGTTGAGATGATCTCCATTGAGATGAAGATTGATAGCCGCAATGTTGGCTTGAAAATAGAATACGAAGTGGACGAAAACCTGCCAACGACTAGTATTAAAAATGACAACTCACTCGTCTTCTACATTGAAGATATGACTCAAAGTTACTTGTAATGAACGTCCATCTCTTTGTATCCATCTTTTTGTTTTGTTTCTTGTTTCTTTTAGTTGCAGTCAACTTGATTATAAAGTTTATGACAATTCTTGTCCCAACTTGCTTAAGATTGTCAGATATGGTGTTTGGTCTGCTATAGCTAATGAAACTAGAATGGCTGCCTCTATTCTACGCCTACATTTCCATGACTCTTTTGTTAATGTAATCACGTTACCTTGTATACTTCCACATGAATAATTTAAATAAACGTGTTCAATACTTTTGGTTATATTGGGCTGTGATGGATCTGTCTGAATCAAACAATTCTGATATGAATTTGGCTTCCTTGGATCCTACTACGACTAACAAGTTCGACAACATCTATGTCAAGAATCTTGTGAACAATTCCAGTCTCCTACAGTCGGACCAAGCCCTTATGGGTGACAATATAGCCGCTTTGTTTGTCATGAACTATAGCTAATTCCCTTTCCTTTTCTCAAGAGGTTTTGGTATATCTATGGTGAAGATGGATAATATTGGTGTTCTTACAGGACGAGATGAAGAGATAAGAAAAAATTGTAGAATGGTAAATTAGAAACTTGCCTACCTAAATGAATGAAAATGAACTAGTAATTAACTTTTTGAGAAGGCTTAAGTATGGATTTCAAATCTAGGTCATTACAATCAATTTCTACTATTTAGCTTCTCCTATTTGTGTGTTTTCGTGTTCCGTTTATGTACATGTACCTCTTACTTTTCCATGATTAAAATAAGGATGCTATGATTTTCTTATAATCTTCATTTACGATTTTTCGACATACTTTCTATAAGCACTGAAAGTTATTTATATCGTATAAATTGTTTAATTCCCTAAAAAGGGTGTGATTAGTACATTGCAAATCATTTAGATATTTTCTAAATTTTCGAGCAAAACAACTCCGTATTTGATAGAAAATGGATTTTTTTCTTTTTCTAGACTAAAAAGTTGTCATTGTTACTTTTGAATTTTTGTTGATTCCTTGGAGTAACTTCTCTGATACTTGCATATTGCTCTTTTGTAAGATCCCCAAAACCTTTATTTGGACTTCTATTTTCTTCCATTCTTCTTTTGCTCGACGCATGGTGGGAATATAGTTGCTTCAACCTTCTAAAGGAGTCCCGAATGTTTTCCACCACAAGTTTTTGCTCCATCGATACCAATATATGTCGTTCTACTAGTGATGTGTGTTCACTAGCCTTCTTTTTAACGTGTGATATTCACCTCGAGTCAATTGGACTACAATATTACCCGCAGCCTCCAATTTATTACTGATGTAGCTAAGTGCATGAGCAACTGATTTTTCAAATGCTTGTGACTCCAACTGCATTGTTTCATGAGTGAGTTGCAATGTCAAAAGACTTTGCCTCTTAAGCCTTGGCACTTGTTCCAGTTTCCTTTTTTTTCGTTGATGTTCGTCTATTTTAATTTTGAGTTTTCCATTTCTTCGTTTGTTCTCTCCAGATCTTCACTTTTGTCGTCGATGATTTTTTTCATCTTTGATTTTTCCTCCTTTGTTGTTTCCTTTTGGTTTGTATCTTCATCTCCTTTTTTATTCCTATTGAGCTCATTGACAAACGGCGTGACGGATTAGCAGCCTGTGGTGAATCTTCAATCGGGTGTTCGTTCTTGCTTGAAGCC